AGTTTTAGTTAGTTTTCCTTTTTTTGTTTTTATTTTTATTTCCGTTAACGAAAATGTTTTTTCACTTCTAGTTTTCGTTATTTCGTTAGTTTTCGTTAACGATAATAACCTCGACTCACACACCTGGAAACAGTCTTTACAGTGCGTGTGTGTGCGTGTGTGTGTGCGTGCAGGTGTGTTACCGTCGGATGGGTCATAACGAGATGGACGAGCCGATGTTCACTCAGCCGCTGATGTACAAACAGATCAAGAAGCAGAAGCCGGTCCTGCAGAAATACGCCGAGAAGCTGATCGCAGAGGGAGCTGTGAGCCGGCAGGAGTACGAGGTAGGACCCGCCCACCAGGTGAATCCTGCTTACAGGTCACCGTGATGTCACTTCCTGAACGTTTGTCTGTTTGCAGGAGGAGATCGCCAAGTACGATAAGATCTGCGAGGAGGCGTACGCTCGCTCCAAGGACGAGAAGATCCTGCACATCAAGCACTGGCTGGACTCGCCGTGGCCCGGTGAGAGGGCGAGGAGGCGGGGTCGAGTCACTGACGGCACAGACAGCAAACACGATTCGACTCTCAGGATGTTGTTTTCACGCTGGCGTTCAGCTCCAGACTGTTAACCCCGTAAACTCGCTGTTTTCAGGTTTTTTCACCCTGGACGGTCAACCGAAGTCGATGAGCTGCCCGTCCACCGGCCTGACCGAAGACAACCTGAACCACATTGGGCAGGCGGCCTCGTCTGTCCCCGTGGAGGACTTCACCATCCACGGAGGTCGAGAACGCCGCCGCTTTCTGACCCAGCAAACGGGAACGAAGACGTTCAGCTGACGCTGTCGTTTCTCGCCACAGGTCTGAGCCGAATCCTGAAGGGCCGCGGCGAGATGGTGAAGAACCGGACGGTGGACTGGGCCCTGGGCGAGTACATGGCCTTCGGATCGCTGCTGAAAGAGGGGATCCACATCAGGCTGTCGGGGCAGGACGTGGAGCGCGGGACCTTCAGGTAAACCTGGAGGCGTGACGTCAGGAGGAGACGAGCGGCTCGTCCTGACGCCGTTAGCAAGTTCGCGCAGAGCTAGTTGACAGGTGTTCTCTGTGTGTCCCCTCACAGCCACCGTCACCACGTCCTCCACGACCAGAACGTGGACAAGAGGACCTGCATCCCCATGAACCACCTGTCCCCGGACCAGGCGCCGTACACCGTCTGCAACAGCTCGCTGTCCGAGTACGGCGTGCTCGGTCAGTCCTCGCTCTCCACAGACGATGCGTCATCGATGGCGTTTGTGTTTTTGCCTGATGGTTGTTTCTGCGTCTGCAGGCTTCGAGCTGGGATTCGCCATGGCGAGCCCGAACGCTCTGATCCTGTGGGAGGCTCAGTTTGGAGACTTCCAGAACACGGCGCAGTGCATCATCGACCAGTTCATCTGCGCCGGGCAGGCCAAGTGGGTGAGGCAGAACGGCATCGTGCTGCTGCTGCCGCACGGCATGGAGGGCATGGTGAGGACGCCGCCGCACCTTCCTCCTGATCAGCTGATCAGTGTTCCTGATCTGTGATCGTTTATAATCGACACGCCCTCGCTGCTCATGTTCTCCTCAGGGTCCCGAACACTCGTCAGCTCGTCCCGAGAGATTCCTCCAGATGTGCAACGACGACCCCGACGTCCTGCCGGTGAGACGCGCACACAGAGCAGTGATGTCAGAGCGGCGTGTGTGTGTGTGTGTGTG